CTGAACGAAGTTGGGAGGTAGTTAGCAGGCAAATGATATACCCACAGGAGCCAGAGATCGGAAGCTCTTTCCCAAGATCCCCACAGGGAATCTGTTCGGCCCTCAGAGTGGGCTCAAATTCTCCTTCAGCCTCCCACTGGGTTGCCAAAGTTACGGAATTGTAGCGTCTCTGGAGAGTGCTCACGTGAATTCCGTGAGTTCTCTCCCCCACCGTCTCTTTTTTCACAGTCTCAGTTCAGTAGCACCACAAATTTACTAGCTCCTAATCTCCTGTTAATTCGCCCCGCCCAGAGTCAGGTTTTTCTGCTAGGCTCAGGGCCGGTGCAGACCTGAGGTCGCTCTGCTTATGACGTATGTCCAAGATGGCGCCTGCTCTTTGTCTTGCTCGCCCTTGAGAGGTGAGCGGAGAGAGAGAAACCCGTGTCCGTACTAGTCACCCTTTTTTCTCTCTCTCTCTCTCTCTTCCAGTTAGCCTTGTGAACTTCCCCCCCCGGGGGTCGTTCCCTCTAGTCTCCTCTCTCCGCTTGCCTGCCGGTGTCTCGGGCTATTGAGGTTCGGCTCACCTCGCGTTCCAGCGCTGGTGTGTTGAGTCTGCCGCTGATGTCCCGAACTGTGGGCTCCCACGCTCTCCACGCAGGTCCGCTGTGAGTCACGCGTTCCGGAAGAGTTTCTTCTGCTGTTTCCTCCCCTACTCTTCCTTGAACCTGCAGTATCTCCACTTTTATTAAACTATCTCTCCCCAGACTATCAGTGTGCTCCCTTCCTATTTTTTGCTCTATCACATGAGCTTTATATACATATTTGTAAACAGAAAATAGAATCAAATTATTTATTATGGATTTAGTTATAGAATAATGAGAAATAGGATATCCTATTAGCCATAAATAGGTTCTTTAATATTTGTATTTTTTGTGGTTAGTACGAAGTTTTTTTTAAGATTTATTTGTTTATTTGAATGGCAGATAAAGAAGAGAGAGAGGTAAGAGAGAGAGAGAGATCTTCCATTTGCTGATTCAATCCTCAAATGGCTGCAACAGCTGGGACTAGGCCAGGCTGAAGCCAGAAGACAGGAATTCCAGGGGCCCAAGTACATAAACCATCTTCTGCTGCTTTCCCAGGCGTATTTGCAGGGAGCTGGATGGGAAATGGAGCAGCTGGGACTTGAACTAGTGCCCATCTGGGATGCCCACATCACAGGCAGTAGCTTAACCCACTGCACCACAGCACCAGCCCCAGAGGTTTAACTTTATAAGGTGTTGTATAAAATATTCAAAATAGTTCATTACACAGGACACTCTATTTTGGTGAGTAGTTCCCTATATCCCAGGGTAGAAAGCAAAAGGGATCATCACATGACTGCCTGCTTCTCACACTGCTTTCTGCTTTCACAAGCTTGAGGGTCTTGCTCTGCTACCTCTGACCACTTCCCAGGGAGAAGCAGGGAGAATAACAGAATAAATTGCAACACTGGTGGCCATCAGCTCTCTCTGAGCCAGGCACTTTCCAAATTATGGAACTATTTTTCAGACTTTCATAACTGAAACTTTCTCCACCCACCACCACCACCACCAAACTAGGCATGATAGGCCAACACCACCAAGTATTTCTGGCTTCCCCCGGATTTCCCACTGGTGGTGAAAGGAGATCGTTGGTGCTCCTGTGTATTATCCTGAACAGCATGACCTGACAGCCAGCCAGCCAGAGCTTCTCAGGGCCCATCCTTGAATTCTCCCTAATACAAAATCCCTTATCTTCTCCACATTTTCAGAGCTGAATGGCCCCCATAAAGTGCACACCATACCTATTCCATGCCAAAGCTGCAGCCTGGGCCACTGACATGATTTTTTTTGGCTTCCAATACATGGACTTTTTCCCCTTTGTAATTTCATTCTTTCTTTTTTTAAACAAAGTTATACTTATCTTTCTTAGATCTTTTCCATTTTTATCCTCCACTTTTTCTTTTTTTTTCTGACTTCTGACATAATGTGTCCCAACTTTAATCCCCACATATGTCAGTTTCATGGTTTTTGACATGTCCACTTAGCATCTTAATGTTAACTCAAAACTTGTCTTCCAGAGTGGGTGTTTGGCATGGTGGTTAAGTCACCACTTGGGACACCCAAATCCTATATGTGAGTGCCTGGTTCTAGTTCTTATTTCCCCCCCTTCCAATCCAGCTTCCTGCTAATACATCTGAGATGTGGGCAGCAGATGATGGCTCAAGTACTTGGGTATCTGCCATCCATGTGAGAGACCTCAATGGAGTCTGGGATCCAACCCAACAGTGGCTGTGGTGGGCATTTGGGGAGTGAAGAACCAGTAAACGGAAACATGCTTTCTCTCCCTCAAGCTTAAATAAAAGGGGAATAAATATTTCTATAAATTGTTTTCTTGAAATTCTAAGCAGTATTAGTGAAACAAAAGGCTACTGACATGAAAAGTGTGGACCTGTATATCACCTAGGATCCTCCCAATACAAGACCCATGTATTGACACATCACAGGCAGCCTTGTTCTAATATATGCTGGGAAGGAACTCAACCAGGTTATTCAAACTGGGTTCTTGCTGGCTACCAGCCAAAAAGTTTTGCTATAAATTTGAGTTCAGTCTGCTGGATTAAATCTGTCTTCATCCATCTTAAAATCTGTAGTTGATTTATCTACTTGGAGTACTATATTATCTTTTTTTTATTTGACAGGCAGAGTTAGACAGTGAGAGAGAGAGAGAGAGAGACAGAGAGAAAGGTCTTCCTTCTGTTGGTTCACCCCCCAAATGGCCGCTACGGCCGGCACTGCGCCGATCCGAAGTCAAAAGTCAGGTGCTTCCTGCTGGTCTCCCATGCGGGTGGCAGGACCCAAGGACTTGGGCCATCTCCACTGCCCTCCCAGGCCACAACAGAGAGCTGGACTGGAAGAGGAGCAACCCAGACTAGAACCCAGGGTGCCAGCAACGCAGGCGGAGGATTAGCCTAGTGAGCCACGGCGCCGGCCAATATTATATTATCTTAGAATGAGGCTGGATCATATGACCTTGCCTGTATTCAAACATTTTTTACCTGCAGACAGTTGGCAATTTCATATGGTTCAAACTAATCTGACTGCACATCACATATGGAATTTATTTATATGTACACATATATTTTATTTGTTTGATTAAATTTATTTGCAAGCACATACTTAGTGTCAGGTTATATATATGGCTAGAGTTTTTCAAGCAACATCTAAATTAAGCAATAAACTTGGTACTAAATTGCATAGAAAAAAAAGAACAAATTTCAAAAACCTTTCTTTTCCTTTACTCCTCAGGCTGGCAAAGAGCATCGGTAGTTGGCAGAGATTCACCCGCTGAGCTCAGGTCAGAGGTGTGTGCATTGTGATTACACAGGCCCAGGTGTGAGTCTTCAGTACACGGAGCGGAAGCAAGGACTCTCAGGGGCCACTCACCTTGTGGGCTCCGCTGGTGGTGACCCATTCCCTTTGGTCTCTGACAGCAGCAAGTTTTTGAAAAATATCTATAAAGGAAGGAAATGATTCAAAGAGGTATCTGGAGTTGAAAGGAATGGGTTCCCCCTGGAATCCTGGATCTGCAGTATGGCAGGCAGGCAAAGAAAGGGAAACCTAGAACATAGCAGCCCGAGAGGCACCCAATAATTACCCCTTCAAACTCCACTAGTACTTACTTTATAATGTTAGTGAGATAACGGAATATGGAAATACCAGAAAGGACAAATCTCCCCTTCCGCTCAAAGGTGACCAAGCCCCTTAGGTCCATCATGTCAGCTTCATAGTGGGGTCTGTTCTTAAACATACTCCTCAGAAAGATTCTGATCTCCAAAGAGGAGGAAGGCCAGCGAACAGGACGGACCTGGCACGGTTCCACAGCTGAGGGAGAGTCATTCTCAGAGAAAGGCCCTGGGGTCGGGGGCTTGCCACAGCTGTCTCTCCCTGGGCGTGCAGATTGGTGTCCTGCCCTGGAGACTCGGGAGCCAACCTGTCCCCAGTGAGGGGGCCAGCTTCCCTACAACCACAGGAAGTCTGCAGCTCACCAACCCTGGAGGGGACAGCCCCAACAGAAAGACGATCACATGACAGGGAACCATCTCAGGCATGCAGGCCAGTCTTTCCACTGCACTGTCACCTGATGAGATTGGGGGTTTTCTGTTTCTTTTCCTTTTTCTGTTTTAGGCTCTGAATATTTCCGATTCTATGGGGCAGGAACTATTATTAATCCAGTCTTACAGAGACAAACTGAATAGTCTCTGACATTTTAAAGAGGCAACAATGTGTGTATTAAATTGCATTGATTAAACTGGAAGCCTTTCTTTCATGAAACAAATGTGCTTTTCCAGGTAAGAGTCGTTAAGTTACACGCTTTTCTTCTGGATATTTCTTGCCACTGGCTATGACAGTTGGCAGGGGCTCCCATCACCCCAAGTGTGTAGGAGAGCAATTCCAAATACTCTAAGTTTATTTTCCTCTGCTGCAGACACCACATTGCGTATTCTAGAAAAGTCACAGAGCCGGCCTTGCCTCCGACGACAACACTTACACGTCATGTTGACCAGCTTATCCACGCTGTGCTGCTCCTCTCCATAGCCCAGGTACTGGTTGGCCGCGATCTCCATGTACTGCCGGAAGGACCACACCAACAAGCGGGTCAGAAAGGGTGGACGCCAACGGCAAACAGGGTACAAGACTTGCAGTTTCTAAAAGGAACTCTAGGTGGCGAAACAGATTCACCAAATAATAGCGCTCCTTCTGGGCCAGTCTGACTCAAGTACGGAAAGTGGTTGCTTTCCTGGATTCTTCACCCTCCCTTCCATGCCCTGAAGGTGATGAAGAGACCTCCTAAGGACAGCATAAAGTCCCAAAAGTCCAAAAATGACAAGTTTGCAAAGTAACTTAACATCCAAGTATGAGATACAGGATATAGGGTACACAGAATTTAAACTCTTCAGTGTGACTTTGAGTATCATTTTTACAACACACTGCATGTATTTTATTGATCTTATGTTCTACAATATCCTAAGCTATATCTAGCCAGCATGCATTCAGACACAAATAATCAAAATAAAATGGGCAGGGGTGGTCTGATAATTTCTCACTGTAAATAACTGACTAAGAAACAAGCTCAGAGAAACACACATAATCTCTGACACTATAATAGAATTCAAAGTGGATAAGCATGGGGTTGTCATTGTGGGGTGGAAGGTTAAGCAGATAGATGTTTGTGATGTTGGCAACCCATAGGAGCTGGTTCATGTCCTGGCTGCTTCACTTCCAATCTAGCTCCCTGCTAACAGCCTGGGAAAGCAGCAGCAGATGGCACAAACGCTTGGGCCCCTGCACCTATGTGGGGCTCCTGGCTGCTGGCTTCAGCCTGGCCCAGCCTTGGCTGATATGGCCATCGGAGGAGTGAACCAGCCCTCTCTCCATCTCTGCCTCTTTCGCTATAGTTCTATTTGCAAACAAATACACAAATCATTTTTAAAAAATAATAAAATGGACAAGCAGATCCTTTACAGCATAGTCTTGTGAATTGGTGTTTCACTGAAATGAAGTAAAAATCTATTAAATTAAAATTAAGTCTTAAAAACAAAAATTAAACATGACTCAACTTCCCAAGAATGAAGATATAATAAAATATCCTTAATGTTACATTTCCATTAAAGTTAACTTGCATTAATAATTCAGTATGAATTTGTAGATCTGCAAGGTTATTATAAAAATCTTTCTTCCCACACACATTACAGGCTCTAGGAGACGGGGCTATTCCAATTGAATGACAGGCTCAGAAATTCTGTTATTGTATTAATAAGCCCAAGCCTTTGAGTTGCCCAGCAAATATTTTCACTCACTTACTCATCCCCAGTAGTCACCAAAGCAGAAAAATAAACCAAGTCAAAATCATTTCTTCCTTTGTCGTTTACTTATTGATGAGCACAGTCATTCTTTACGGTGTATGAACAAAGTTTTAAACATCTTTGCAATCAGCATTTTCTCCCCCGTATGATGTGTATGACGCTGAGCACTTGAGTTTGCCCACCAACGCCTAGCCCTTGGCCCTGCTAACTAAAGACAGGCGACCTTTTATAGCCCTTTTTCCGTTTCAGCAGGCTGCGTAAGGAGAGACCAATTAGCCAGAACAAACGGTCGTGGGTGCCTCCCTGCTAGGAATGTCCTGCTTCATGGTCACATTTCTCAACCCTGCCTGCTCCTCCCCAGCAGGAAGCCACCATTTGTCACATGTCTGCTGGATCCCCAGCCAGAGCATCGCACAAAGGGAAAGGGCAAGAGCAGCCACACCATAGCGCCTTACCTGAGCTAGGTTCTCCGTGCCGCCCAAGCTGTGCAGGATTTCCTGAAAAGTCGAAAGCCACAGGACACGTATCAGGGATGAGGGTGGAGGGGAGCCGTATTTCACACACAACTGCTTTACTAGGTCAGAGATGTGTAACCATTGACTAAATGTCCATGACCTAACATGAATGTGGGACACAGAAAATTTTCCTTCCTTACTGCATTTCAGATACACTGCTAACACACACAGAAGTCTGGTTGACACTAAGAGAAGGAATCTGTGCGCAGAACTGCAGCCTGCCTCCCCATTCTTTTATGTCCTCATACAGTGTCAGAGTTGGGAAGCGCTGTTAGACACCCTTTTCATTCAACCTTCTCCACTACATGAAGAAAACTAAGACCCAGAAGGGCAAACCATTTTGCCTTACTGACAGCACCCAAATAAGTGTAGCATCACCAGACTCCCAGGAGTTTCCCCTGGGTCTTTGGCTAGTGTGGTTTTCAGATCAGCAGCAGCAGCAAAAGCTCCTGGGACCTTAATAGAAACAGAGACCCACACCCCAGACCCATTCCATCACAGCCCTAGGACATTTTCATGAACTGTGTGTTTTAAGAAGCATGGCCTTAGTAGGCTATTGGGCTTCTTTTAAAATCATTAGGCTAGTTGTCTTATTAAACCTGCACTCTAAACAAATGTAAGCAAATCTTAACACAGTGTCTCCTGGCACAGGACTTTACATTCAATTCCAATAAATATACATTTCATTGCACTCCTGATGCTGCCCTGAACATGAACATGAGGGAAGGCGGAACAGGTTACAGTTGTGAAAGGGACTGGCATGGAACCAACTCTACAAACAGTAAGTGTTCTTAGGTTATCCTCATCAGCATAGACCAGCAGGCAAATGTGTGCTCAGGTGGCCCTAACTTGCTTAATTAAAGCTGCATTGTCATTTCTCTCCTGACTGAACATTCACATAAGGAAGTTATTTGGTATATAAACATTAGCCAGCATTTCTGGTCTCAGAAAGCCACAAAGATGAGAACACAAGTGTGAGAGAGAACAATGTGATCATACCATGAAGCTGACAGAGGCAGGCAGGGCAAAAGGCACAAGATCTCAAAGTTCCCTTACACTGTGTGAAGTGACTTTGGAAACACCAATGCAGCCATTAATTATGTATGAATAAAGCATGAAGAAACACTAATACATGATTAAAAATAATTCTGGACCAGGACTGTGATGCAGCAGGTTAAGACGGCACTTGTAATGCTGTCATGCCACATGGGAGCACAGGTTCAATTCTCAGCTGCTCCACTTTCAACCTAGCTCCCTGCTAATGCTCCCGGGAAAGCAGTGGAAGATGACCCAGTGCTTGAGCCCTTGCCACCCACTTGGGAGACCCAGATGGAATTCTAGACTCCTGGCTTTGGCCTGCCCCAGTCCTAGCTGTTGCAGCCATGTAGCAAGTGAAGCAACTGATGAAAGAACTCTTTCTCTCTGTCTCTCTCTCCTTCCCTCCCTCCTCTCCTCTCTCTATCTGTTGCTCTGCCTTTCAAACAAATAAATCAACCTTTTTAATGATATACAAAATAATCCTATGACCACTAATTAATTTGAAACCTCATCAATGCTGTTCACTCTAGAAGAGCTATGGTTAAAGAACATACAAATATTGTATACATTATTCCTAGTTAGGGTAGGATTTTTCATACATAAAAAATGTAAAATTTAAAACCACTTCTTTTTGGGTATTTTTTTTATTTCTGACAGGTAAAAGCTCTGACTAGGATCTGAAGAGTACACAAATATGTGAATGATAGGGGCCTGCTTCAAATTTTAGGCAAGTAGAGATACAAATAAACAAAATTTAGAAAGACTAAATAAGCATTACAAAAAAAGCTTTGAATTAACTTCTAGGGTGGCCCAGAGCAGAGACATATCATTTTCTGCTGAGAGGACAGAGGAAAACTTTTAATGATGGTAGTCTCTGAATGGGGACAGGCAGGATGGATAGATTTTCTGAGTTGAGATGAGAGGAGAGGGGGAAACAAAGAAGATTGCAAGCAAAGAGAACAGTAGGCCCAAGGGTGCATAGGAGTTTTGTAGAAAGACACCAAGATGTTCTGTGCTGAGCAGAGCAAGCCCACAACCCAAGAAGGGCATTACTGGGGCAATGGGATCACACTGTGAGACAACCTGGATGAGCCTGACTTGAACTCTTTCTCGAAAACCACGGGACCCAGCAAAAACGTGTAAGCAAGGACCTTCCTCAAGCCTTGGAGTGAACTAGAGAGGGAGAGTGTCAGCAGGGAGCCCCCTTGGGAGTAACTGGCAGTGGGACTAAGAATGGTGAGACAGGGAGGTCTCTGAGTAGATATATCAACTAAAGATGGCTGGGAAAGAAGAATTGTGGGTGAGTGACCAGGGAAGACGACCTGACTCAGAAATGCAGGAAAGCAGAGAAAAACAGCTCGGTGTTGGACACGCTGGTGGAACAACCAAGCAAGAGGTATGTAGGCCAAGGAAAACAAGTTTGAGAGCCAAAGATTGGAATCTGCAGTCATCTACATGAAGGAGATGCATATTTCAGGCTTGGGAATGGGAGAACACCAAAGGAGAGAAAGATGTTCAAATGGTTGGCCACAGCCACGGTTACTCTGAAATGCTTACCATAACAAGAAATTTATTTATGTGATAATATTAACAGTATGGGACTAAGTTGGTGTTTCTAAAACCATGTCCTGGAAACAGTTACTTCATTTTGTATAGGAAACTAAATTATGTATTCTACAGAAGGGGGGGAGGGGGTAAGGAGGAAGAGGAAGAGAAGAAACCAGGAAAGAATTGTATGATCAAGTTAGGTTGGAAAATGCTGAGTAATGCAGAGTTTAGAAAATTCTTCACCTCAGGGTTTCTAGGGCCTTTAGTACACTGCCGCTAGGCACTGTGTCTCCAAGGGGAGAAGCAGCACTTGACTTTATTCCTAGACACCATTGCCCAGGGCACACTTCCTGTCACAGAATACCAATCACTCCTGTAGAACACAGTTTGGGAAGTGTGGCTATAAAATATAGAGAGGATGACAATGCTTTCCCACCCCTAGAGAACTCTGCTGTGGTGTATAGAGAGCTGAAGCTTCATTTGTGAAATAAACAACTCCCTCTCCCCCTTGCTCCAGTGGAGAGGGAAGAAAGGCCAGGAGCGTGCTCAGAGACCCAGAGCCTTCCTTGTGTTGCAATGGATGAAACCAATGGAGTTGCACTAGTCCAAGAGTATAAACTGGAGGAAACCATGACTACAAGGAATGCATACACCTGGGCTTAACAATGTTTGTTACTGATCTGAAAAGCAAATACAAATGCTTAAATTACAACAGTGCTTCCTGGGTGCCCTTTCAGAACCCAGGATCTTCCCCTGGTCACCTAGTGACTCAACCTGAATAGTGCCCTTGCTCTGATTACTCCCTGGGTTTTTTCCTTTAAAAAAAAAATAGATCTAATAATATAACACTGGTTAAAAAAAAAAAAGCTGTGATTTTAAAATGGAGTGTGTTATGCAATATGAGTATTGTTAGTACCCCACTATTTTTAGCACAGCCAACAATATCATTTGCATTGAAGCACTCTCCTCATAGGCTCACTCTGTAACTGAATCAATGAATGCCCAACACTCCCCCATTAAGCCTTTGAGACTGAATCACCAAGGTGAGCCTTGCACTCCTTTGTTCAAACACTACTCATCCCCTGGTCATGATTACAATGCCTTTTGGTGCATGGGCCTTTATTTATTTTTCCAAGCATATTAACTACACTTCTAAAAGGCTTGGTATACTAGATTTGCAGGGGTTGAGTAAAAGAGAAATATAAAAAATGTTTCTACCTTGGAGTCTGAAGGAAAGATGCAGCCATTAAGAGGATTGGAAGCTGATTCTGAAGATTCAAGTATGAAAGGAAGAACTGAAGATCCCTGTTTCCATTTTTTATAAAGATTCATTTATTTATTTGAAAGGCAGAGTTACAGGGAGAGAGACAGACAGACAGACACACATGCAGAGAGGGAGAGAGAGATATCTTCCAATCTTCCATCCACTGGTTTACTCTCAAAATGTCCACAACAGCCAGAGCTGGGCTGATCCGAAGCCAGGAGCCAGGAGTTTCCTCTGGGTCTCCCACATGGCACAGGGGCCCAAACACTTGGGCCATCCTCTGCTGCCCTCCCAGGCACTCCAGCAGTGAGCTGGATAGGAAGTAGAGCAGTGAGGACTCAAAGCAGCACCCACATGGGATGCCGGCACCACACACAGCAGCTTTACCCACTACGCCACAGCACCAGCCACAGAGAGCCCCATTTTAAAGTTACTGAGTGTTGTGTGCTATAGTAGTGATTCCCAAACTTTTGGGTATCTGAACCCCTTCACATTACTAAAAAATCCCAAAGAACCCCAAAAAGCAATGTGCTATACCTTCTGTAGAAGGACTACAAGTACACATTCATCTTTCTCCTGCTTGGGACTCCAACTACACTTGAAATCTCAGTATGGGGGCCGTTGCTGTGGCACAGAATGCTAAGCCTCCACAGGCAGCACCACCAGCATCCCATATCGGTACCAGTTCGTGTCCCAGTTGCTCCATTTCTGATACAGCTCCCTGCTAATGGGCCTAGAAAAGCAGAGGAAGGTGGCCCAAGTACTTGGGCCCCTACAACCAAGTAGGAGACCTGGTAGAAGCCCTTGGCTCCCGCCTTCGGCCCGGCCCAGCCCTGACCATTGCGGCCATTTGGGAAGTGAGCAAATGGATAGAAGACTCACTCTCTCTCTCTCTCTCTCTCTCTCCTTCTTTCTCTGTAGCTCTGGTTTTCAAATAAATAAATCTTAAAAAAAAAAAATCTATCCCCTTTGAAAAAAAAAAAAGGAAAGAAATCTCAATGTCTTAATTCTGAAAAACTCTAAGCAATTTTATCTTTAAAATAGCTTCTCTGGGTGGGTGTTGTGGTACAGCAAGTTAAGCTGCCTCTTGGCATGCCCAGAATCTGTCCAGCTGCCTGATTCAAGTCCTGATTACTCCTCACATCTGATCCAGTGTCCTGCTAATGCACCTTGGAGGCAGTAAATGACGACTCCAGTGTCAACCACACTGGAGACCCAGGTGGAGTTTCTAGGTCCTGGCTTTGGTCTGATCTAGCCTTAGTTATCTTGGGCATTTCGGGAGTGAACCCGCAGATTGAAGATTTCTCTCTCTCTCTTTGTTTCTCTGTAACTTTGGTTTTCAAATAAATGAAATCTGTTTTTAAATGTTTATCAAAAAAAAAAAAAAGTTTCTCTATCATCCCTTCTTTTCTTGCTGGAAAGTCCATTAAACATATCCTGGAATCCATGTCTGCTAGCAAGCCAAACCCAATCTATGAGCCCCCAGTCTGCAACCTCTTGGTCAAGGGAAGAGGACTGATGCATGGTGCACTGGACTATTTAAATGGCTCCCAGAGGAAATCCATACTTAACTCATACATAGGATTCAATGTGCAACTTATACAGTACCTCAGTCCTGATAGAAAGGAGACTCAGAAGATATAACCTGGCCTTTCAGGACACATAGCAGTTAGGGAGGGCACTGGCACAGCAGCTAAGTCACCGCTTGGGATGCCAGTATCCCATATCACTTCTGGTCCAGCTTCCTGTGTTGTATACCCTGAGAGGCAGCAGATGATGGCTCAAGTGATTGGATCCATGCTACCCACATGGCAAACTTGGAAAGGAGTTCCAGGCTCCTGCATTTGGCCTGGTCCAGCCCTGGCTGTGTGGGTACTTGGGAATGGACGGTCTCTCTCTCTCTCTCTGCCTCTCTGCTTTTCAAGCAAAATGGAAAATACTTATTTCAATGAAAATTTTGAAAAAATAAATACAGCAATTACAGGGCCAAGAAAAGAACATTTTTATGTTAAGGAAAAGGAAGGGTTTGCATGGATGAGTGAGCCTTGGCAAGGGAGAGGAATATACTCTTGAGATAAGAAGAAAGGAAAGTTGCATGACAATCCAAATATCTCAAACAAAGAGAAAACAAAAGAGCTCCCCCAGGGATGGCCTTAGCCTCTCCTGTAAAACTGATGATGATGTGATTTGATAAGAATGGCAGAGCAGCCGGCGGATTTGATAAGAATGGCAGAGCAGCCGGCGCCGCAGCTCACTAGGCTAATCCTCCGCCTAGCGGCGCCGGCACACCGGGTTCTAGTCCCGGTCGGGGCGCCGGATTCTGTCCCGGTTGCCCCTCTTCCAGGCCAGCCCTCTGCTGTGGCCAGGGAGTGCAGTGGAGGATGGCCCAAGTGCTTGGGCCCTGCACCCCATGGGAGACCAGGAAAAGCACCTGGCTCCTGGCTCCTGCCATCGGATCAGCGCGGTGCACAGGCCGCAGCGCGCCGGCTGCGGCGGCCATTGGAGGGTGAACCAACGGCAAAAGGAAGACCTTTCTCTCTGTCTCTCTCTCTCTCACTGTCCACTCTGCCTGTCAAAAAAAAAAAAAGAAAAGAAAAGAAAAGAAACTATCAACTCCCAACTTGACTCTCACTGGGATTAAACATGACAATAGGTCTGATCTGATTTCATCATCATTAAAAAAAATCATCTATTATTTTTCACTTTATGTTTCTGTGTGGGAGCAAACTGTTGAAATCCTTACTTAATGTATACTAAGCTGATCTTCTGTATATTAAGATAATCGAAAATGAATCTTGATGTGAATGGAAGGGGAGAGGGAGTGGGAAAGGGGAGGGTTGTGGGTGGGAGGGACGGTATGGGGGGGAAGCCATAGTAATCCATTATTCGTACTTTGGAAACGTATATTCATTAAATAAAAGTTAAAAAAAAAATACAAATTCAAAAAAAAAAAAAAAGAAAAAAAAAAAAAAAGAATGGCAGAGCAGGAGGGGGTTGGGTGTGAGAAACGGAGTTGGGCTGGAACAGTTGCTGTGAACACTGCAACACTGAGCAGAGAGCAAGGCAATGGCAAGGCCTGCTGAGAGTCACCAGCATTTTGTAGAAAATCCCAGCACAGTCTTGTGACTTTGGCCAATTCTTGGAACTCCAGATGTTAACCGACTGTCTGAGCTCATGCTCTTATATGAGCAAAGAGTACCGGGGAGGAGAGACTGAGAGACTCTCTCTTTGTGCAAACATTAGCCATAAAAGGGATATTCATTCAATATGTATCCTGGTCACAAAATCTCATAAACAAAATGGTTACTGAATTCCTTCCCTTATATAGAGCAGTGCAATCAAACTTATTCCAATCCATGAAGGACTAGGTAAAAAAGACCTGTAGAGGTGAGATCAGTAGAGTTTGACTCCATTGTCATTAATTTTCCTAACATGTAGAACATCTCTAAGGCAAATATTTTGCTACCTTCTACAAGTTGGAAAGCTGGATTGTCCTCCCTGAAAACTCTTATGGACATAGTATCTTCATCCAAACTGAGACACATTGGAGAATTAATAAGGGCACCACGCACAATGAAGTAGGAACAGTGGGCACATGCTGAGGACAGACCTCAGAAACAAACGGCCCACCCTGTGATACAGAAGCAAGAGGCAGCTCATATTTACAAGGCCCACACAGCTCTGTGTGGTTAGATATGGGGAATTTTCTATCCTCTAAACACAGAAAACTGCAAGCTCTCAGGACAGACAGCCATTTGGAGGCTGCCCTGCTTCACACTTTCAAAAAGTTGTAGTTAGCTCCACTATAATGGTACAAGGTCAGTTTAAAATACAGTTTAGAGGGAGACAGACATGAATCCCAGAAGACGCACACCAGAGCAGCCTCTGAAGCTGGTTGGTACCAAAACACTTCCAAGTGCCAACAGGGGAACAGGTAGTAACTGGGATAACGAACATTCTGACTTGAATGAGAATTCATCAATAAAATTGAATCCAAAATAAAAGATCAGAATACATCAAAACTTCCTAGTAATTTATGCGGACAGAGCAGAAAATTAGATGCTTTCCAGGATTAAAAAAAAATTGTGAAAACTACAGAAACATACATGAAAAGTAAGGGCACTTCTTGGATATTTAATATCAGTCAGCAGAAACAATGATCAGTAAGCAATCCTCAGGCTTTGAGGGAATGGTTCTCAAACTGTGGTCCCCAACTGGCAGCATCAGCGTCACCTGGGAACTTGATAAATATGTGTGGTTTTTTAGTCTTGATCTCAAACCTACAGAATCAGAAACTATAAGGGCAAGGCTTTCAATAATCTTTAAGTACTTCAGGTATTTCCGATGTGTAAGAAAGCTTAAGGATGGCTGCTTTATGCAATCAGCTATCTGTCCACCAACCGGGGCTAGAAGGAATAATTCCCTTGGGCAAGGTGAACTTTCCTTCAGAGTCTCAGAGCTGAAGTACTAAGTCCTCGCTACTCAGAGTGTGGGCTGTTGACCAGTGGCATCAGCAACCCCTCAGCAGTCCTGGACCCAGGTTTACACGATTCAGAAGCAGAACCTGCATTTACAAGATCCCAGGGGGAATCAATAAGCATATTACAAGAGGCATGGATCTATAGGCAGCATATTCAACTAACTAGTGAGAAAAGGAAAAGATTCTTGACCTCAAGTTCCTCTTCAGAGACAAGTGGGAGGCCCCTTCTCAGCTCTCAGTCTTGGACTGCAAATTGGGAAGGAGTTGGAGTCTGGAGCAGCTACTAAAGCTGCAGGCCCTGACTTCCCTACTGGCTGCCATGGGAAGAAGCCCCCACTTGTCACTGCTGACATTGACTTAGAACATCCTTGATGGTGTGGCCCACTGACACTTCTTTGAACTGTTAGTTTAGAACTCCAGGTAACAATGAAAATATACACCAAAAGTTCAATCCACTTAATCCCATAGGCTTTCCTGTAGAAATGTAAAGACTGTGTTGTCCCCATTAAATAACTCCTTTCAAATGTTTTTAAATGGCATGTGAGATACTTTCTGAATTTGAAGCTATTTAGCTGTGATAGGAAAAAATTAACATAGTCTACTTCAAAGAAGAGCCCACCAATATTTTATTTCATCTTCATAATAAGTAAAAAAAAAAATTGTCAACCAACCTGATAACATGGATCCCTCATTAGTAGCCTCAGACAGATTAACACTCTCAAAAAATGAATTGACGGGGCTCGGTTAACCCACTCTCTGAAAGAAGAAAATAGAAGAGAATGTGTTCATGTTTAAAAGCTTAGTGGAACAGTTCATAAATAATGCAAGATAATGGAAAGAGAATGGAGAACACATAAATGATTGCACACTTAGTTTATTTCAAGGTTTATTTGCAATGGGAACTATTTGGTACTTGAAAACTTGACCCATTTTAATTTGAAACACATATAAACCATCTTCACCACTAATAAACAGGAACCCAAAACTTACCAATATTACCTTACCAACTTACCAATATTACCTAACCAATATTTCATAACACCCTAAACCAAAAGAAATAGCTCTAAATTCCAATAATTAGTTAGATCCAACTTAATAATGAATTATCCCCTAACAACTTAGTGTCCACTTGAAAAGGAACATATATACATCAAAAGAAGACGACTTTTATTTCTAAAATAACACAATGCCTTATTTATGCAGTGTGTATACCTGTGATGCTCACTAACTTCTTGAACCTAGGAATCAGAGTGCATACCACCTTTCCTGTTTCTTCTTCCCCTTGATTTTCACAGCGTGTTTGCTTTTGTCATAGCAACCACTGGGAACCTAGCTTCAGAAAGATATGCCCTCACCTCAAGGAAGGTAGAGCTACCTATGCTGAAACTGTTAACTACCATGAGAAGTTGGTGCTATGTCTGTGTTTCCCTTGGGAATTTAAAAGAGCCCATGGTGCCCTGGAAGTTCTCTGCATCCCCAGGGCTCTGTGCCAAGCAGCTCTGGAAGCACAATCCTTCCTTGGATCAGTTTCTCCAGATTCAAACCCTGAGATGAACATGGTAGATGCAAATGAATGATGAGGAACATGCTCTCAAGAGAGATCTACTTGAGTGCATAATTATTTTTATTATTTGCTTTTAGTTATTATTCATTTGAAAGGCAGAGAGATAAAAAAAAAAAAGAGAGAGAGAGAGAGAGAAATCTCCCAATCTCCGGTTTGCTTTCCAAATGCCCACAACTGCCAGGGCTGGACCAGGCCAAAACCATGAATCTAGAACTCAGTTTCAGTCTCCTGAGTAGGGGACAGGTACCCAGATACCTGAACTATCACCTTTGCCTTCCAGATTGTTCATTAGCAGGAAGCCAGAATTAATAGGGCTGGGTCTCAAACTCAGGCACTTTGTCACGTAGTGGGGAGGAGGGGGAAATCCAGGTGCTTCTAAAACTAAAGGTAGACTTCAATCAACCCCAGAGTTGCCAATCAGCCAGGATTACTCAAGGCTGGTAACCATCCTATGGTTCATCCTGACTCCATATGGTACATACCCTACATTGAGAAAAACATGGCAAATATGAAGTATATTTTGAATAAAAAACAACCATCTGAGTGGGTGCTGTAGTTCAGCAGTTTAAGCTGCCACTTGGGTAACCCACATTCCATATGGGAATGCCTGGTATAGAGACCTGCCTATGCTTCCAACCCAGCTTCTTGCCAATGTACACCCTTCGGGGCAGCAGGTGATGGCTAAGTACTTGAGCCCCTGCCACCCATATGGAAGACCCGGATGGAGTTCTTGACTCCTGGCTTCAGCCTGGCCCAGTCCTGGTTATTGCAGGCATTTGAGGAGTGAACCAGCAGATGAAAGATATCTCCTTATCCTCTCTCTCTCTCTCTCATCCTACCTAGTTATCCATCTCTCTACCTTTCAAATAAGTATCTATAAGTTAACTTTAAAAACAATAATTTATGTGAACACTTATAAAAATCTGGTTATTCTAAGTTTAATCCTTATAAATGGGGAGAGGGCACATAGTGAGGAAAAGTTCCCCTTTCAGGTGCTGGGGTAGGTTAAAGATAGCATGTCGCCCAAACAGTAATGCAAAGATGCAAATCCCAAATAACTGACAGAAATAGGAGCAAGCTGCAATACTGCTGGCAACCCAATGAGGCTGAACGCCGATTACTTCTCACTCTTTAAGAGGAAAAGTCACAGAACATTCTGAGAGATGAATCACCCTACAGATATGTGTTCACTTGGTACTTTTCCTGTGAGCTATATACAGTCCTCACGAGGAAAGGTCATGACCTTTCCAAAGTGTTTTCATAGTAAAATAAAAAGTTTTGTTTTCCTGTTTCCTATACAAACATATACATATACCCCAAAAAGAAAAGAAAAATTCCAAAATGAACTTCTTTTTTACTATCAAAAGAATGTAAATAAATGGAGATTTCTAGAAAAGTCTCGGAGTTGCAAGTTCTATTCCAAGCAAATGGCATTTTTGGTTTTGTTTTGTGATTTTTGGGACTGAAGCCCAAAGCTATTAATATTTCTACGTGATTCTGGCTGCGCCATCATAAATGTAAATAGAATTCTTGGTGTCTGAGTCCTCTGGCTTCTCCACTCAGGGTGCTGACCTCTGAAGACACAGTTGGTCCCTCCTTGGCTCCCAGCCCGTAACCTCCAGCAAGGACATGGTGCATGGGATGGAGCTGTGGTGTTCAAGGGGAAATGAGTGTGCTGTAAGATGATACACACATCTGTCTGCCAAGGGCTAGGGAGCTAGGAAGAACACAACTTAATGCAACCAGAGAATTACTGGGAATTACAGAGCTAGACCAAAAAGGCTGTCTTCATTCTACTGACACAGAAATTGCAGCCAAAGGAACTCAGTGTCTGGTCTCGGGCTGCACATAAGAAACAGAGCTGGGTGCCTGACTCCCAGTCCAGTGCTCCCTCCAACCCTCCCCTTCTGCCTGGGTCCTACACAAGGGTATGACTGGAGAGAAACAGACTCTTCAAAAACGTGTAACAGGGATAGGAGCACTGCAGAGAGTGGAGTGGGGTTCCTTTGACACAGCCCTGAAAAACTTGTCTATCTGCAAAGAGAGGGTTTCCCCAGAGGGTATGTCTCAACACAGCAGCCTCATAGAAGCAAATGCCTGAGCAGGCAAATGTTTATCCCCTCCAGTGACTGAACGCATGCCAGTGCCCTCACTGCACTATTGACACATAGCAGTGGGATCAGCTCCCCCAGCCTTTGTCCAGGACCACTTGCCATTCTGCTGTCAGTAGAAAAGAGAAGGGGCAACAGCACTAGTGACATGGTATGTGGAAAGAGAAAGGGCAGGTGGAGTTTCAACTTCGTGCACAGCACAAGAATGCAGTACGTGACACGAGAGCTCCATGAGAGAACCAGTCACGAGGCTGGCAGATCACCTTAGGGAACCGTGGCTACCGCAATTAGTGAGAGCCCCACGTGGTCTGGGAGGGATGAACTGGATCCATGCACTCAGACAAACGGCAGCAGCGATCACCCCTGTGCAGCATGCCTCTCTCCCTCTCACTTCCAATAAGCAACTCTTTTCATGTTGTAGTAATGCAAAAAACAAACAAACAAACAAACAAAAAAGGACGTGGTACCTTTGACTCAATGTTTAAAAGTACAGGAATTCAAGCCTGTTTCAACCATCAGATTCATAAGGCAGTGTCAAAATTTTGTTTTGATAGTTGAGAAAGTAAAATTCACGTAGAAATATGGATGCAAAACTTGAAAGGGTTGGACATTGGGTGCAGTGGTTAGGACACTGCCTGGCGTGCCTGCATCCTACGTAGGAATACTTGAGTTTAAGTTCTGACTGGGAGGCAGCAGTGATGGCTGAAGCACTTGAGTCCCTGTCACCCGTGTGGGAGACACAGACTGAGTTCCGGAATTCTGGATTCACCTGACCCACCTCTGACTATAGGAGGCATTTGGGAAGTGAATCAGCAGATGGAAGATCTCTGTCTCCCTTTCAAATAAATAAAAATAAAAATTTAAATAAAGAAAAATTTAGAAGAAACAAGACTATGTGGCGAAATTCATCATAAATTATTATTTAAGGAATCATATGGTGTGTTTCTCCCTTTCAAGTTGGTCCTTCTTTTTCCTCTGTGTCCTCCACTAAACCTTGTATGGAATGTCACCCAACTGAAAGTCTACCCATGAAATCAGGATAGCCCCTAAATTCAGAAGGATATTTAGTAGAAAGGATCTTCTTCAAGGTCTTTTTTTATGTAATTGATGAAACTTCAGAACACTTTTAAATATTTACTCACCACCTGCTATTAGCCAAGCATTATCAGAAGCCCAGGAGGACAGCTGAGGAAGAAAGCATGTCACAACTCATGTTCTAAAGGGAGAAGACAATAGAGTTCATATTCCAAAGGAAAAGCACACTAATAAGCACACAAAATAAAAATGGACACCAGTTGGGAATCAGCGAAGAACAAAGGTTAAGGTTTTAACCAGTTCCATGGTGCTATTTCAGGAGAGTGAGAGAAGGATTCTTTGATAAGATTAGCATCTGAGGGGTGGGCATTGTGGTGCAGTGAGTTAAGCTGCTGTTTGAAATGCCCACATCAAATATCAGAGTGCCTGGGTTCAAGTCCCACTTCTTCCAATCCAGCTCACTGCTAATGGACACCTGGGAAGCAGCAGATGATGGCTCAAGTACTTGGGTCTCTGCCACAACCATGGGAGACCAGAATGGAGTTCCTGGTTCTTGGCTTCAGCCTGGCTCAGTTCCAGCTATTGCAGCCACTTGAGGTGTGAACTGGTGGATGGAAGATCTCTCCCTCCACCCCCACCATCTTTCAAAATAAATAAAAATAAACCTTTAAAAAAGATTAGCATCTGACTTTATTGAGGAAATGAGCCATATGGATGTCATGGTCACAGCAGCAGAATAGTTAAGCACATCATCCCCAAGTTAGGAGTCCCAGGTGTGTGCAAAGAGTAGTGAGGAAGCCAGTGGGGCTAGAGCAGGGCAAGAAAAAGAATGAGAGATGCTGAAGTCAGAAAGAGAGCAGGAGCTACAGCATTCAGGCACTAGTAGAATACAAATAACACTTGTAAATACAAATAGAGCCTTTGGTTTTTCATTTCGAGAAGCCACTGGAAGGCTTTAAACCGAGTATTGTCATGATATGACTGAGATTTTGAAAGGATCCTTCTGCATGTTGTGTTGAGAAGAGTGTAGAGAGCCAGGCATTGAA